CCCTCGTAATTAAATGTACAAAAAACAAACAAACAAACAGTGCGGCCTTTATTCGAGCAGATAGTGTACACTCAATTTAAATATTAAGACTAGGATTTGTTTATTACGTACTTTTCGTTTGACCGCTGCCTTTACCCATGTCAAATCCAGAGTTAGCCGCTATTTCCTCCTGGGCCAAGTCATAGCTGATTTCCTCAAGCTGAACTCCCTGTTTTTTCTTCAGATCAAGTTCCACTGGGTGATGCAGAACGAACAAACTACTTGAACCGAACACCACTCTAAAAAAACAAGGACCAATGATTGAAAAGTTAGGGGACTTTTCAATAATGCGTTTTCATTACACTAAAACCAAAACCAAAACCAGACTGATTAAGTTCCCTAATGAACCAATGAGAACTGAAAACGAACGACAAAAGCGCGGGTAAACGCGTATGAACATCGCCAGTGACAACAGACACAGACCACTCACACGATGTTTTGAATCAACATACAGCTTTGTTGGTATATCCCAAGCAAAACCCTTTTCTATCCACACGTTTGTGTTTTTTCAGTTTTAAACGTTGACTACAACGCTACGCTAAAATTTAACAGTTTGTTCTCCGTAAAGTTACCTATAGTTATATCTTTCTTTCAATGTAGATGATTTCTCTCACGTGCAATTTTTTCTTTAATGTTTGATCCACAGCTCGTTGAAGGCAAAATACCCTCCCCATTCAAGCGTCCTTTTTTAAATTAGCGCTTTTCCCAACAGCAGAAATCATTTTGTAAACACCTGGGCCCAGTTGCTCGAAGCATGGTTAGCGTTAACCAGCAGTTAATACCTTGACAACGTATTGGTTTTGATACTGCTTAACCAATGGTTAAAGCTAACCATGCTTTGAGCAACTCAGCCCTGGGCGCTTAAGCTACGTGCACAATAACTGCAGACGCACTCAACAACTCCCAACACTGTTGGCCTAACAATGTCGGGAGTTGTCGCGTGCGTTTGCACGTGGCCAAAAGTTTGACCGGTTTTAAATTTTGTGCAACAACATGCAACAGGGTGTGCAGACGGACGCAACATGTAACATCTAACAATGTTCGGAGTTGTTGGTTAACAATGTTGCGTCCGTTTACACAGGGCTTTATATGAAGAAACATGGCATTGCACCGTACACTTTCTTCTGTATGTTGCTCAAGTTGTAAAACTTCTGTCTGAAGTTTTACAGTGAAGTAAAAAACCAACCAACAAACGTAAACAAGACAAAAACAAAAAAGAACCTGTCATTGTGGTGTATTTCTGTTTCGTCTCGTGCAGGTTTGCCATTCACCATCAGCTTTGCATCAGGATGAGCGAGGATTGTTATGGCATTACTTTTATGCGTCACTGTAGCGTGATCGGTAAGAATGCTATACACAACAAAGGTGATTAGTTACTTTAATATATACTGAACAGGATAATTTATTTGAGCATAATACTATAGGTACTTCTGCTTCACAAAAGGGGACCTAAAATTGTTGTCTTAACGACGCAATTCGGACTCGTTATCGAGTAAAAACTATGCCGCTAAACCTCAGCTACATGAGTCATCGAGGCTTTAGAGAAACGATCCCGAGCTCGTGTCGTTCAATTGAATCAACCGATGTTGACAGAGGTTGCCACTGCCACCGATCCTAACTATTGCTGTAAATAATTATAAGACAACGAACAAACCGACAAAAAATGTGAACATTTTGCGATATATATCCAAGGATTAAACAAGAGCTTTTTACACTTTGTAACAAAACCAGAAACAAACAAACAAAACAAAACGAAGCAAACAAGAAAAAGCGACAATGAAAATATCACCTTTCTGTCGCGTGTCAAAAAAGTGTTTACGTGTCATTAATTTATTGTAGTTCATTATATACTTACCCCAGCCCACTTAATACAATCTCTGGAAGGGGATCTGCTTTTTTGTTTCCAATTTTTGTTTTACCTGATGCAAACGCACAGAATTCGAATGGTTACATACTTACTACTGTAAGTTTCCAGCATTCGACTTCTACTACCGTATGTATTAGTTGCTATAAAGCAGGCCATTTTCCCCTACAGCGCATGCGCGTGTCACACGCCATGACGCAATAAAACTGTTTCCCGCCAAGAGTCTCAAACTAGCAGGCAACATAGCAAAATCGCTGACGTCGTAGGGTAACAGTGCACTCAGTACCGCAAATGTTGACCGTTCGGTGAGATGAACTTCCGAAAATTTGTAGACAAGGGGAACTTTCTTTGTGGGCTTAGTATTTAAAAACTTGTAAATTCTACGTCCTTCGATTCTCAACGGGCAAATTTAAGAAAGATAACCTGTCTACAGTGAAGATGACGCGCGCCAATCCAAAAATCAACTTGGCTATTGGCAGAGCGTCGAATTGGGAACCGGAAGTGGAATTTGGTCCTTTCAGCGCGCTTTCGCTTGCTTATTTTACTTTACATTGTATTTACTGAATCGGCCTCGCTCGAGAAAGATTCTAGCTCAAGAAGTACCGTTATAAAGCGTGCGAAAGTAAGCAGAACGTGAGAGTAATCCTTTTCCACCAGTATG